GTGTTGTGTGCTGTGCGTTGTGTGTTGTGTGTTGTGTGTTGCGTGTTGTGTGTTGTGTGTTGTGTTTGTTTGGTTGTGCGGCTGTGTGGTTGTGTGGTTGTGTGGTTGTGCGGTTGTGTGGTTGTGTGTTGTGTGGCTGTGTGGTTGTATGTTGTGTTATGTTGTGCTGTGTTGTGCTGTGCTGTGCTGTGTTGTGTTGTGTTGCGGGAATGTTGTGTTGTGTTTCGTTGTGATGTGTTGTGTTGTGGTGTGGTGTGGCGTGGTGTGTGTGCGGGAATGTGTGTGCGTGCGTGTGTGTGTGTGTGCGTGAGTGTGTGTGCGAGCGTGTGTGTATGGGTGACTGTGTGTGTGTCTCTGTTTGTATGCTTGTGTGTGCGTTCGTGCGTGCGTGCGTGCGTGTGTGTGTGTGTGTTGTGTGTGTGCGTGTGTGCGCGTGCGTGTGTGCATGTGTGTGCGTGCGTGTGTGCGTTGTGTGTGTTGTGTTGTGTGTTGTGTGTTGTGTATGCTGTGTGTTGTGTCTTGTGTGTTGTGTGATGTGTGTTGTGTGATGTGTGTTGTGCATTGTGTGTTGTGTTGTGTGTGGTGTGTGGTGTGCGTGGGTCTCTACAGTGCGTTTCTCCCCACTGGCTACCAGCACCGGACTGCTGCTGCTGCGCTCGAACCCCTGACGTCACGCTGCGCTCCGCAGGATGCTTGGCCGCTGCACTCTACTGGCTCATTAGCACCAAACTGCTGCCCGCGCGTCAGCTCCTGGCATCGAGCTACGCTCCGCGGGATGCTTGGCTTTACAGTGCCCCATCTTTTTCACCACCACCATCAATCTGCATGGCCGTAGCTGGGTTCTCTCATCATGGCGCGTTCGACCAAGTTTGTTCGCAAGCGGCACCTCCATCTGCCGACCGCGCCAAAAGTTTCTCTGCACCGTCGACTTGAAAGTGCGTGTGTATTGTGCGTTGTGTGTTGCGTGTTGTGTGTGTTGTCAGTTGTGTGTTGTGTCTTGTGTGCTGTGTAATGTGTGTATTGTGTGTTGTGTGTTGGGCGTGCTGTGTGCTGTGTGTTGTGTGTTGTGTGTTGTGTCCTGTGTGTGTTGTCTGATGTGTGTTGTGTGCGTCGTGTGTTGTGTGTGTTGTGTGTTGGGTGTGGTTAGTATGTGATGTGTGTGCCGTGTATGTTATGTGTGCTGTGTGTGCTGTGTGTTGTGTGTTGTGTGTGCTGTGTGTTGTGTGGTGTGTGTTGTGTGTTGTGTGTTGTGCGTGTGTTGTGTGGTGCGGATACTGTGTGTTGTGTGTGATGTGTCTGCTTTGTGTGTTGTGTGTTGTGTGTTGTGTTGTGTGCTGCATGTGCTTTGCGTTGTTGCGTGTGCTGTGGGTTGTGTGTTCTGTTTGTTGTTTGTTGTGTGTTGTGTGTTGTGTGTGTTGTGTGTGCTGTGTGTCGTGTGCATTGTGTGGTGCGTTGCGTGCTTTGTGTGAATGTTTACTGCTGTGTGTTGCGTGTGTTGTGTCGTGTGTGCTGTGTTGTGTGTTGTGGGTTGTGTGTTGCGTGTGTGTCGTGTGTGTTGTGTGTGGTGTGCGTTGTGTGTGTTGTGCTGCTGTGTGTTGTGTGTTGTGCGTGCTGTGTGCATTGTGAGTTGAGTGTTGTGTTGTGCGGTGTGTGTGTTGTGTGGTGTGTGTTGTGTGCTTTGTGTCTGTGTTGTGTGTGCTGTGTGTTGTGTGTAGTGTGTTGTGTGCGTTGTGCGCTGTGTGTTGTGCGGTGTGTGTGCAGTGCGTTGTGTGTTGTGTGTTGTGTGTTGTGTACTGTATGTATTGTGTGCTGTGATTGTTGTGTGTTGTGTGTTGTGTGTTAATGTGTTGAGTGTGGTGTGTGTTGTGTGCTGTGTCTGTTGTGTGTGTTGTGTGTTGTGTGTGCTGTGTGTTGTGTGTTGTGTGTTACGTGTATTGTGTGTTACGTGTATTGTGTGTTGTGTGTTGTGTTGTGGGTTGTGTGTTGTGTGTGCTGTGTGTTGTGTGTTGTGTGTTGTGTGTGATGTATATGTTTTGTGTGTTGTGTGTTTGTGTGTTGCGTGTTGTGTGTTGTGCATTGTGCTATATGCTTGCTGTGTGTGTTTGTGTGTTTGTGTGTTGCGTGTTGTGTGTTGTGCATTGTGCTATATGCTTGTTGTGAGTTTTGTGTGTTGTGTGTTGTGTGTTGTGTGTGTTGTGTGTGTTGTGTGTTGCGTGTTGTGTGCTGTGTGTTGTGTATTGTGTATGTTGTGTGTTGTGCTGTTGTGTGTGTTGTGTGTTGTGTGTTGTGTGGTGTGTGTGTTGTGTCTTAGGTGTTGTGTGTTGTGTGTGTGGGGGGGTGCTGTGTGTGTGTTGTGTGTTAGGTGTTGTGTGTGTTGTGTGTTGCGTGCTTTGTGTTGTGTGTTGTGTGTGTTTGTTGTGTGTTTGTGTTATGTATTGTGTGTTGTGTGTGGTGTGTGTGGTGTGTGTTGTGTGCTGGTGTGTGCGTGCGTGCGTGCGTGCGTTCGTGTGTGCGTGTCTCTGTCTCTGTCTCTGTCTCTGCGTCTGTGTCTGTATCTGTGTCTGCGTCTGTGTCTGTGTCCGTTTCTGTGTCTGTGTCTGCGTCTGTGTCTGTGTGGGTGTGTGGGCTCGCCGCCCTTAATGGCCAGCCCGATTCCGCGCAGGCAACTGCTGGGAGCTCAAAGGGATACGATGCGTGCTTCAATGTAGGGCAAGGGGAGGGGGATGGAGGCTGAGAAGGAGTTCTCCAGTATCTGCCAGGATGCGAACATCACCATGCTGGACCCTGAAACTGCGCGACCACACTGCAGTGTGAATGTGTGTGTGTGTGCGGTCTCGCCGCAGCGCTGGCCGGAAGCCGCGCAGGCCACTGCGGGGAACTCAAGGCGATACGATGCGTGCTACGATGGGGAGGAGGAGGAGAAGGAGGAGGAGGGTTGGCTCAGATCCGCAGTTGGGTACAAGGACAGGTTTTCATTGGTAAGACCTGCGGGCAGGGCTGAACAAATGGAGGAAGCCCGACGCAAAACCCAAATAAGGGGAGGGTAACGACCCCACGGACCTGTCCAGGCAAGGACGGGCTCAAGGGCCGCACTACTGGTCCGTTGAATGGACGTCGTTGCCCTCTCACCTCAAGGAGGAGGAGGGGGAGGAGGAGGGGGAGGAAGTCCCGAACTTCCCCTGGACCAAGCTCTCATCCTGGCTCGTTTCCAGTGATCCCCGGGGCTGGGAGGGGCCCAGCAGGCCGAGGAAGCGGCCCAAACTTCACAACCCCTTTCCTTGGGGGCGACGACGACCACCACCACACCCTTGGCTCACGGCGAGCGACGGCGATCACCACCACCACGTTCACCGCCACCACCACGACGGACGACAACGGGCTAAAACGGACGACGACGACCACCACTACCACCACGACGACCGCCGCGGCAGCGGCGACGGCGACGAAGAAGACGGACCCTGGACAACGGCGGACGTCGGACGACGGACGTCGACCGACCGACGTCGTCCTCCGCCTCTTGACGCCTCCAGGCATCAGCGGAGGCATGCGGAAGCCACTGGAGGCCCAAAAAGTTGCCAAAGCCGTTCTCGAACCTCGGTCCCCGATCCTTGAACCTCAAGCGTCGATATTCGTCGGGAGGCAGCGGCGGCGGCGACGGCGGCGATGGCGACGACGACGACGAGGACGACGACCACGACGACCACGACGACAACAGCAACCACGACGACCACGACGATCACGACGATCACGACGACCACAACGACCAGGACGACCACGACGACCACGACGACGACGACAACGGCGACGACGACGACGACGACGACAACGACGACGCCGACGACGACAACGACGACGCCGACCAGGACGACGACGACAATGACGACGACAACGACGACGCCGACCAGGACGACGACAACGACGACGCCGACGACGATGACGACCACGACGACGACGACGACGACGACGACGACGACGACAGACGACGGATGACGGACGAAGGGCAACGGACGACTGGCAACGGACGATGGACGCCGGCGGACGACGGACGACGGCCGACGTCCCCTGTTCCCTGACCCCTCCAGGGATCATCGGAGGCTTTCCGATGCCCAAGAACTATCGGACACGGCCTCGATCCTCGAACCCCAATCGTCGTCGGAGGCGGCGGCGACGGCGGCTGCGACGACGACGGCGGCGTCGACGGCGGCGACGGCGACGACAACGGAAGACGGCGACGCCCCCGCCGATGAGGGGAAGACTGAGGGTGGACTGACTCAGGGGGGGGGGGGGGAACATCGAGCTGGAATCGGAGACTTTCTGGGCGATTGTGGGTCGATGCGTCCCCCCTGAGCCTCTCCCCCAGTGTCGTTGGTTTTTGGATCACATCTCGGGCCTCCTGCGGCCCTTCGGGACGATCTGGGCATCCCTGCAACGCCCTCGGCGAAGCGCAGCGGCTGGAAGGCATCCCACGGCTGGAAGACCGCCGAGCATCGACGAAGACCTGTAAACCATTGAGTTTGTCGTCCCCCACATGAGCCAGCCCTGAAGGGCAACGAGAGGGGGGACTGACTCGGGAGGGGAGCATCGGCGATACATCGGCGATGGGCCCCCGACTGCGAATCTGTACGCTCCTGGGCGGGGTGGGGTATCAGGCCCCCATCGGCGGTGAACGGGCGATTGAGGGTCGATGCGTCCCCCCCGCGCGCATCCCCCGTGTCGTTGGTTTTCGGATCAAAGCTCGGGCCTCTGGCGGCCGTGCGGGACGATCCAGGCACCCCTGGGACGCTCTCGGCGAGGCGCCGCCGCTGGAAGGCCTCCCGAGGCAGAAGCACCGCCGAAAACCGAGCACGACGCCCGAAAGACCACGAGCCTCGAACCCTGCCGCCCCCCCCCTGGCGGCTGGCCCGCGCGCACGCCTGGCCCGCGCAACGCCGACCCTGCGCCGACGACGACGCCGACGGCGCCGCCGCCGACGGCGGGCGGCGGCGGCGGGCGGCGGGGGCCTGCCGCCCGAACGGGATGCCGCGGTCGAGCAGCGAGCCGCGCCGGAGGCGGTCGGGCTCGTCGGCCCGCTCGCTAGCCCGGCGGGCCGCGCCCTTGAGCCACCGGTGGCTCAGGGCCCCGGCCGCGGAGAGGCGGTCCTCGTGGTCCTGCGCCGCGGGGGCCCTCGGAGCTCGAGCCTCGAGGTGCGAGCCTCCCGCCTCGAGGCTCGCTGCCGGAAAACGAGCGACACCGCCCCGCCCACGGCCCCGCGGGCCGCGGCGTCGGCCTGGACCTCTGGCGTGGGCCCTTGCAGGGTGCACGCTGCGGCCCCCGATGGGACGCAGCGCAACGCGGAGGGCCGTCGGTAGGGTGGTGTCGTTTGTCTCTTGGCCGAGCTCGAGCTCGAGCCTCGATCCTCGCTGCCCCCGCGCCCCGCCGCGGCCCCGGGCGCCTGCCCCTGCCCGCCTGGACGGCGAGGATGTCGCCCTGGCCTGCCTCCGCGCGCCCCCGCCCGCGCCCCCGGGAGAGGACCTGGGCTCTCGGTCCGCGCTCGGGGTGGTGTCGAGGACCGAAGGCCGAGGACGCGAAGGTCGAGAACGGTTAGGAGGCAAGTCCTGGGAGGCCATCGTGGGAGCCAAGAAGGACTCTGGAGCCCGACCTGGGGAGGCCTTTGAGCTGGACTGGCCCTGCTCAGCCCGCGAATCGCCCGAGCAAGCTGGACTGGAAAGGCTTGAGCGGAATGGAGCGGGCCAGGTGGCCGGTCTTCGACCACGGACATGCCGACGCCGATGCTGAAGTCAATTTCCCAGGAACTGCATCCTGAGAGGTGACCAGAAAACGCATCGGGGTTCGAAACCAGGGAACGAGGTATAAACGTCGCAGGATCCACACTGCTAAAAACGAACGAAAACACGACGCCGGAGGTCTCCTCATGATCCTCAGTCCTCCGCGCGGCGCGCAGGTCCGCACGAGAGGGGAGCCGCCGGTCGACCCCGGGTCCTTGACAAGCAGGGCCTCCAGGCACTCGCGGGCCAGGCCCGAGATCCTGTAGCCGAGGCCCTTGCGGCGCCACTCCCCTCCTCTCCCTCCTTCCTCTCCTCCCCTGCAAACTCAACAGAACGATCGTGACGAAGATGGGGCTACGTTTTGCGGTGAGCGGTCGAAGCTCAAATGACAGAGGTGTGTCACACCATCGGAGGGCGGTTTTAATTACGTGAGCGAAAGCGCCAGCAGGTGCACTGTAACATGTGGCCCCCCCTCGACCTGATGCTCAAGGTCGGGCTGGCCACGTGCAACTTCATACAAATGTGCACATCACCAGCAAAAGCTGGAGCTAACTCAACAGCACAAAAAACGGCGACATGCTGACAGACCTGGCGAATCAAGATGTGCACACAAAGTGGTGACTGATCTTTTGACTTGACATGCACGCATGGTGAACTTGACGCGGCAGCGCAAATTGTACCTTGAGTTACGGCGGGATCCCCGCTCTTTTCTTGTATGTCACAAACACCAGACTGCCCACATCCACTTCAAATGTTCATGGTAAATGAGGCAACAGACCTAGGAGCGAAAACGGGTAGGAAAGAAACCACATGGTTTTCAAGCTGTTCTCATCAGCGCCTGGGGCAAGCCGAGGATGACCTCGGGCGTTTGCCCTTGTCCAACCCCTTGTCATGATCCACGTTGTTAAACATGTCCTCACAATCACGCTTCATTTCCATCATGAGATAATGATTTATCTCGCCCATGAGGCCGTCGTCGTTCCAGGCGTCTTCCTCCTCGTCGCTGTCAACCCAGGCTCCCAGAAACTCCCCATAGCTACGCTTGGGAATCCTCGCCACCGACTGGTCATGAATGCCGTGGAAACGACCCACAGCCTGCCAGCAAGTGCAATCTGGGAATCGGACGTTCGGCGACGCCCACTCGAACCTACGCTGATGCAGCCTCTGTTTGCACTCCACCCCTAAGTATGGGTTAACCGCCCACATCTGGTTGGTGGCCCCATATGGAAATCGGCGGACGGTATGTTCCCCCCCTATGCGACTGCCAAGGTCAAAACGGCGCGGGCGCATCCAGGTGCCGCCAAAGCGGCTGCGCATCGGCCTGAACTTGTCGCGGTCGCACCTCTGCACCGACAGCGCTGCACAGTACCAGGTTAGCGCCAATGATTCCACCCGCTCGCCAGCGGACCCGCTGGGCCCCCGGACTGCAGCGTCGAAGCCATTGCGCAGAAGACCTCCGAGCCATCGCCAATCGCAACGAACTCCCGCGCCACTTCTTCGGTTGGGAATCTCACGATAACGGCGCCCGCCGCGACGTCCGCGCGGTCGTTCAGAACGCCAGGCCACGGCGCAAGATCTCCAGGGCAAGGGTCGCGGGGCTACCAAGTCGGCCCGCGCGCAAACTCACGCCCACAATTGATGGGCTCAGCGGCCCCGGCGGCACAGGAACGCCCCAGGGGGCCTCCTTGGGCAACGGCAGAGGCTCTGGGTGATCCTTGAATTCGCCCTCTCCGTCGCCCCCCCGGTCGCCGCCGCTGCCCTCGGCCACGTCGCATTAGGGCTCAGGTGCCTGGCCAGGGCCCGTCTTTGATAAGCTCACCCCCCTTTCCTTTTCCATCTCTGCCTCGCCCTCGGACGCACCGTCGGAATTGTTCATCGTGCAGAGGCGGAGGATGGGTGGCAGGCCGAGGCGGCCCTCCTGATCAAGGCGCAGTCGATGGCCGCGCCGAATTATGCGGGGCCGCCTTGCAGGGCGATAACTCGCCGCCCTTGGTCTCGGCAAGTGACCCCAGCATGTTCTCGGCGGCTATCCCGCCAGCCCCCCCTCGGTCCTCGGCGGCCCTGTTCGCCGCGCCCGGATGCTGAATCACCCCCTTCAAGCGCCTGCCTATCCTGTGCGATTGGTCGCGGCTTGCTCAGCAGACGGCTCGCATCGTCAATCCCGTGACTCCGCGCTCGCAGTTGTTCAGGACCCCCCGTTTCTTCGCCGCGCGCGCAGCCCCCATTCCTAAGGAATTCATCGCACTGCTACCACAGCTGGTCGTTAGTCTCTTTGAGATCCCTGTCGCCATCAACTAAAGCCGCGCCACGGTCCGTCAGTCTATCTGCCTCGCATGCCACTCCTGTAGGCAACGACTCATTAAAGTTAACTCTGTCAAAGACCCTGGTCGACTTGTCATCCTCCTTCCCCAGACCCAAACCCCCTTCAATTCTACATCAGACTCCTACATTCTTTCCCTTCGAACCAACTCAAGTCTCGCTCGTTCCCTAGCGTTGCGAAAGCATTACCGTGAACCGTCAATCAAAGGCCCCTGCCGGCATGCTTAGAAACGCAAGGAGATATTAGCCCTGACGCAAGTCCTATTCTTGCAAAAGTGAACGCATCGGTCTTCCCAGTGAATTGCTGCGTTACGGAACACGCGCGCTGGCTTCAAGAGTTGACCACGCTTTTCGGCCCCATAATATTCCTGCGGCAATTCAACATGCGTATATTTCTGCGCTGGCGCGTAGAAGTAGGCCCTCCCCCCGTCCAAGAATGCCACGATAAGCCCAAATCCCATATTCAATTCACGTGTGTTCAATATCATCGGCGATGGACTTGGCGAATAGTAGTTCCACGCTTCCAATAATGGCGCGACCGCAAAGATGTTCTCATCATTCGAATAATGAGCCACTGAGTTACCAGTCTTGACTGGTACTCTTGATGCTTGTCGGCCTCCATGTTCATGAAAATATGGACCCTATCGGCGCCTTGCCTGTTACTTGCCAACACTCATGTTCAGCTACCCCCGTGCTGCACGCCAAATGCTTATGGTATTGAACCATGTATTATGTCCTTCCGTTTGCCGCAAGTACAGGGGCGAGCTTGTTTCCACTCTCATCGGCCCACGCTCTTTCATACGCATCCCCACTGCGGTGAATCACGCGGACCCCCTTGCGGATTACTGGGGCCTGCCACGCAGCGCAAGCGAAAGCCCCGCATATCATTGGCGCTTTCATCCAGCATTCGCGCTCGCATCTCGTGGACTTCCACGCATGTGACCTCCGCGACGGCATTCCAGCACCCTCGCCTGAACTCTTTTCCCCCATCACGCCCAATAATATAGTCCACGGAACTGCCCCCTATAATCTCTCCCGCTTCGCTATCTCTGGTCACTCGCCACGCGCGTGAAGTCCACAGTGGCCCTTCGGGGCCTGGTGGCACTAGCCCGTTCGCGTCGTGGTCTGCCCCTGCCCGCGATAGTGCTCATCTTCCTCTAGGTCAACCCGCGTTTGCCGTTAATTCCATCGCACTCTCCACCCAATTGATTGTTCAAATTTTTCTGTTCAAACCGCGACCGTTCCTACTGCCATATCTGATTTGCTCGATAACCCCTGCTCGCATGACCTCGCACGACCTATCCGAGTTAACCTCCGACACCTTCGCCCAGCTTCCTCCCGCTAACCCTAAATGTCGGCGAGTTCCTCGACATGCGCTGCTAAGTTCCGTTCCGATCATCACCGCGCCAGCCGTGAACTTGATTGCATATGTCACCGACAACTTCTCTCCATGCCGCATAGGAAGTCATGCCATGACTGCAGATGCCTCCCTGGACAATTCCCACCCCTGGGATACTCAACATTCCCCGGGCGGGCGCGGCTCGCCAGCTGCACGCTGACGCTGGGTGGTGAAACAAGAAGTACGAACCAATACGTCTTCGAATCTCGCATAGCTCCATGGCGACTTGTGAACGCTTGAAACCATATTCCGGCATTTCCGCGGTTCAGCTTGCACCTAGGCGCTTCTCGCGAAGCTTCACAAGCCCGCCGAAGGCTGCGCACATTGGGCTTGCTACAAGCAGCAGGGCGGCTTTACCGGTCACCCGCTCCGTTGATTTCTGCCTCATTGCAAGCGCGGTAAAATCCCGATGACTCCCAGGCTCGTCGCGGGTAGTCAAGCCCATGGCCAGCCCTGGGGCTAGCCCCATCATGTCAGCCATTCCGGTTAACCTGACAAGGGAATACGCATCAATCGCGTGAGCCTGCACAGCTGTTTGGACTGTCTGCACAGACTGACCTGTCGTCGATCGTTAACTTAATTTGGCATTGCCTGGCCCCGTCTGTCTGCCATATATTATGCAGCTACTTCGTCGAGCCCCATGTCTAGCAGACCCTAGGTAGCCTCACCAGTCATTTATTCGCCCATCTTCAATTCGGTTGCTCTTCTCAGCCTGTTAGCCTTCCCCTGGCAACTGGCAAGCTGGTCTCCCGTTGTTTTGCGCGCCGGGCCCGTCGGCCCCATCATTCATCACCTCGAACTTGGTCCAGCCAGTTATGTTGGATAGGATGACTGCGCGCTTCCATTGGGCATCTATCATCTCATATTTCTGATTTCAACTGCATCACTGTTGGTGGCGTGCGTCGCCATGCCGATTGCACTTCCCTCGCATTTTCAATACTCCTGCGCGCCACTTTAATCCAAGCTTTCAAAGATGAGATAACTCTTTTCTTTTTACCCTGTGGATTATAAGTTAGGGTGGCCCGTCCTGTCCAGCGATCGCCACCTGACGCTGACTCCCCGTCAGTTACTCGCGCTATTGCACGAGCTTTGCTTTCGTCCTCTTCACGCTCGCCAAGCTCTTCTTTGGCGGTTGCGTGAAATCTCGGTTGCGCCGAGGATAGGCAGGCCTGCACTCCGTAATCCTCTTGTGCCCTTAGCCACCCAGTGGCTCCTATTCCACGCTCGGCGCTGCGAGGCCTGCGGCGAGGACCCCCCTGGGACACCTGCGCGGTATCCGCAACGCCCCGGCCAGGCCCCCTTTCTACGGCACTGACTTTTCACTGCTACGCCACTCAAGACGCGCGGCCGAACTTGAACTCTCTGATACCACGGGTCACGCAGGCATCAACGCAATTACTCCGGAGCGCACCCCGTCGCCCATCGCGCCCAGATCTGGCTGCCACGGCAATCCCTCCACGGAAACCATTTCCTCGACGCATCGCCTTTCTTCGTCGCTGCCTTTGCGGCGATGGCCCAGCGATCTGATCACTCCCCGGCTCGTTCCGATTACAAGATCTTGATTTTTGCATCGCATGCCCGCGAACACCCCCGATTCCTAGTCGGGGCTCCAGCATGCGGCCCCCTTTGATTTCAGCCCTGAGAAACATGGCACATTCTCCGGTCTCCGCAACACCTTATTGAGATTGCGCCCACGACGCCGCGACGGGCGCCAGATGGCGATCCTCAGCGAGCTCGGGTTTTGTAGTCGGCGTCGACCGCGCTCTTGAAGTTTCTGGCTTGACGATGAACTATTCACGGGTCAGTCGATGTCTTCGTTAACTGTCGACCGAATCTCCGACTGGGCGAATTTCAACTCCCATTGTAGTCGACGCCGAGGACTTACGGAACTCCTAAGGAGCGGTTACGGAAGACACCCCGTCACACTGTAGAAGTACCCTCCTGCGCCCGGCGAAAAAACACATATGACGTGAATTTGGCCGATTGACTGGCGACCTTTCATATGATTGCCACTCTGCCCTCTGCCGACTTTGTCCTTCTGCAATGCATTTCCAATATCGGGCCACCTGGTTTTGCTGCGTCACGCCCTTCTCTTCTGTTCTTACCCCACAAGCATTTGCATCCAAACCACATGCAGTCAGCCGAGGCGACTGGCTCGCCATCCGGTGTTAGTCCCGCCTCTCATTTTGCGCGCCCTTCGCCTGGCCTTACCTCGCACGCAGCGAAGGCGCCAATTGCGACGCGGCAGACGGCTGAGATTGGAGCCCACCACTTCCGCTGCGCAGGGGCGCGGGTCACATGGCGCACTCTTGACCTGCGACGTTTCTTCGCCGCCGCGCGCGCCTTCAACATCAACCACGCCGTTTCCACCATCACCCCCACCGTCGCGATGACCCCCGCACCACCACTTTCCAGGGCCTACGGCGCCCAGTGGGAGGGGGCCCCCCTGCTGTGGAAAGACCACCTGATTGATCGGCCCATCCTCGGGGAACCCAAACGGCGAATTGGAACGTCCAACTACGTTCGTGGATCACCGCCCTCCCGCCCGAGGCCGCGATCCGCCGTCGGCACCCCGACCCCTGGAAATCTCGCGCCGCCAGCCCCCGCTATCTCACGCGCGGGACCCCATGCTTTCTTAACGTCGGCGACGCGCACGCGCATTGCCACCTCGCCACCTGCCCCGCGCTGCCCCACAACAACTCGCTGCCCGCGGCTCTGTATTACGGCGCCGCTAGCCGCGCTAAAATGGCGACCGCGCGTCGGGGCCCCCGTCTTTTCAACTGGGAAATGCGCCCCGGCGCCCAGGTGGCCCGACTGCGGCGTGACCTCCCAAGCCGACGACGACCGCAGGTCTCTGCGCCTTAGATCCCAGACTGCCCCCGAGAACAGCGCCCACTTCTGTCTCGCGGGTTACCTCCACCATTCCGAGATCATTTGCGGATTCAATGCCAGCACGAACAAGTGCCAGCAGTGGCTGTATTTGCCGGCGCATCATCTTCTGACGCGCGCGTCCCTGTCTAATTTCAGTGCCAGTTGCTTCTTCACTCCGGCCGGCGTTTCCACTTGAACGCCAGGTGGGTCAGGATATTCCCAGGTAGTGGCACAGCAGCCTGGGTCCATCTCCGACCGGGGCTGCCCGCGGTTACGTTCCCTGGGCATTGCTGGCCTGTCCTACCTCGCTGGCCCCCTGCGCGCACCGGGCTGCAACGTGGCCTTGTTCGCCCGCCCCTGCGACATCCGCCCCCGCTGATTGGCGCGTAGCCCTTGCCACCTGGCACGCCCACTGCTTGTCCTGATTGCTTGCCTGTTCCCACGCAGTTACCGCAACTGTCCAGTAATAACCTTTTTTGTTGCCAGCTCGGGCGCCCTCTCCCTCTGCTGCAGCTCTCGCGTCTAAGTTTGACTCTGCAGCTCCTGGCAACGCGGCCCAGTCTGCCGCGCGCGTAGCAGATGCATTCCTTCCTTTATCTTTACCTCTGTTGACTGCGCTCTCCTTCACCCCCCCGGCGGTCGCCATTCCAACCGCGGCTGCCTTCTTCGCCTGGGGGCCACCACATGCCTTCCGCATTCCTCGCCTGATTATCCGCGGCATCTTCTCGGTGGCCCCCGGCTCACAGCGCTCTCCTTCTTTACCTACTCCCCCGATGTTCATCGCATCGCTGCTCTTCAGCCACCGTCCACTCGTTACTTTCTGAACCCAATCCTCGCATCGCACAATGAAAAGCTTATGAAATGATTCCCTGGTTAGAGAACAGGGCGACCTCAAACAACGCTGCTGACAATCATCGAACCACTCCCCGGCGCGTGCCACTGTGGAATCCCAAGCCATTGTCTTGACAAGACAAGGCGGTTCATACGACTTACCATGCTTATCGAGCTTCCCCACCAGCGCGCCCCCCTGCTCGAGCTGGACCAATGCGCCACTCATCACCTAAGGTTTGTCGGGGCGCATGGTTGAACTCAGCTCAGCAGGTGATGCTACCCCTGCTACAGCAGAGTACCACTTACAGATCTTCCTGTACGCGATCAGCCCTTCACTTTCGTCGAGGCCGTGTAGCTTGCCCCCGGCTTCAACACTCTCCACTTTTTCGATTCGGGTGTACCATTAGTCCTCGCCCAGCGGGTGCAATTTCATCCTCGTCCAGAACGCATTAATCTTCGCCTTCGTTTAATTCGCGTTTCCTGTGTGTCGCTGCCTTGTTGTTCTCCGTGGACGTCACCCCCCCATTGCGCATTCTTTTGTTATCAAATCCTCGCTCGGGTCTAATGATTGGATTGCCTTCGATTCGGCCACGGGCCCTTGGTGGTTTGTACGTTTGTTACATCCATGCGTTTCAGAGATATGAGCGAGGACCACCTTGGTGTTCATTTGTTCCTCTACTAACACTTCCAATTCGGCCGCTCGCACATTAATTTGCGCCGTGTCTGCCTCGTGCGCGTTCTTCCGATCGATGATGTTCAATAAGATTGCGCTGGATTCCGCAAACACCCTCATCAGTGACATCGCGCGCTGGCTAAACAAGTCTTGGTTAACCGCAGGCTCTTGCTCCCCAAGGTAGTTCGTCACCGCGTGATGGTTCGCCTGCAGGCCAACTCCGACGAACTCGCAGCCACATTGGATGCACGCGGAAAGAAGATTGGTCAGTCTGTATTATATCCGTTCTTGTAGTGTAGTAGGTATGGTTGTGTCCGCTTTCGTTGCCATGACATCGTTCCGTTACCATGCAAATTCGACAGAACGATCGTGACGAAGACGGGGCTCTGCTTCGCAGTAAGCAGCCAAAGTTTAAAGCACACATGAGTGTCACACCGCCTGACGGCGGTTAAGACTACATGCCAAACGCCAGCAATTGCACAGTAACCTTGGTCCCAAAAACGAGGCATCCCCCCGGTCTCCTCGTTCGCCTGGGCATCCTGCTCCTGCTCCTGCTCCGCCCCCCGAAGAACATCTCAACGACGACGACGACGACCACCACCACCACCACCACCACCACGAGCAGGCCTGGGACCTACTGTACATCCAGGGGCGCTGCTGCGTGACGCACCCCCGGAGCACGTCTTAATCGCCATCCTGCATGACTGCTCCCACTCCTCACGGGAGCCGCCTTCATGCAGGGCGAGACGTAGCTGGGCTCGAGGTCCATGTTGCAGATCATGACCTCCACGAGGGCAGCGCGCTCCCCCACCCTGGCCCGCGACCGCTCCCTCGCCGACACCGCTGGGGGAAGGATGGGGGGGAGGGAGGGCGGGAGGAAGAGAGGGGGGGGGAGGGAGACAGGGGGGGAGGTAGGGGAGGGGAGGGGAGAGGGCGAGGGAGGCAGGGGAGGAAAGGGGGGGGAGGGAGGGAGCAAAAAGGGGGAGGGACGACGAGGTTGGGGGAGGGAGGCAGGGGAGGGCGGGGGGGGGAGGGAGGGAGGGAAGGAAGGGGAAGGAGGGAGGAAGAGAGCGAGAGAGGGATGCACTGGTCAATGCTCTTGTTCGTAGGCTTGCAGCTGAAGCTGACGACGCCTTGGCCTGCTACGGTTGTTTCCTCACCCTGGGGATCAGCTTCCTGCCACAGCCAAGGCAGGAGGCATTGTCGTTGAATGGGTTGAAGAGCACAAGAAAGAAATGTGGGGACCGCGCCAATTTCGGTGATGGATCTTGTGCTCGAAGGTTGGTGCCGGACACGCCCAAAATGGGCTCAAGACGGCCCAAGCGCCCCCCATAACGCCACAAGTGAGCTCCAAGAGCACCCCCAAAAGGACCCCAAACCAGTGAAGCTCTTAGAACTTTGAAGGATTTGGACATCATCACCTTTTCGGGCTTACCACGGAGGGGGCAGCACCGCCGGGGCGCAGGGCCGCTGGCGGGCGCCGATCAGTCCTCCGCCGCCAGCATCCTCGCCTGCGCCGCCTGGATCTTGGCGGCAACCTTCGGTAAGACGAGGCCAGGACGAGGATAAAGTCGGGTGAGGAGAGATGAGATATGGCGGCTCTGGAAGATCTCGGGCGCCGCGGCCTTCGTAGAGCGTTCCGAACGGTCTGAAAGCGTTCTGGGACGGACTGGAACGGATTTATCACTGCACCGACCTTGCAGTCGTGCTGTAGAGTATTTTTGCGAGGACTTCTGTCAACGCAAAAACCCCGCAACTGCGAGCGAAAAAACAAGCGAATGTCGCGAGGACTTTTTGTAGTCTTCATTCCTGGCCAACAAAAAACCCGCACGAAATTCCTTTCGAAATCCGGAACGAAACTCTCCAGGACAATGCAGTTTTCCGAACGAACTCCGCTCTGCGATGTTGGCGCCATGATCTTTATCTTCGTCCTAGCCTTGGGTCGGGAGTGCCCTCCTACAAGCGGATGTTGGACGATTGTTTTTTAAGAAAAAATCCAAAAATGCCCCAACTAATATCCAACAATATATTAATACGTCCCCAGACTATGTTTTGATTATGTTTGGATATTCCTCCTGTAGAGGCACAGGCCCGACTTAGTCCTAGCCCCCGTCCGCCTCGGCAAGGCCCGCCGTCGGACCACGAAAAACCGGATCGGGCCGGCGGCGGCCAGGATTAGGTCGGGCCTGTCCCCCTGCAGGGGGATTTTGGACGAAAAAGAAAAATATTCGAAAAAATACTCCACAGATGCCCAAAAATATTCCAACAATAGTCACCTGACTATTTTTTAAACTATTTTTGAATGTCCCCCCTGTAGAGAGAGCCCGACTTAAGGCCAGAACCGCGCCGCGGGATCGCGCCGCGGAATCGCATCGGGATCGGCTCGCCTGGGGATCGCGGGCCGCGCTCGGCCCGCCTGGGGCCGTCCTCGGCCCGTCTCGGCCCGTCTGGGGTCCGTGCTCGGCCCCCGCCGGGCCGGGCAGCCGCCGATCTGCTCGCTCTGCTCCTCCTCCTCCTCCTCCTCCTCCTCCTCCTCCTCCTCCTCCTCCTCCTCCTCCACCTTCTCCTCCTCCTCCTCCTCCGCCTCCTCCTCCGCCTCCTCCTCCTCCTCCTCATCCTCCTCCTCCTCCTCCTCCTCCTCCTCCTCCTCCCTCCTCCCTGCTCGGTGCGCGGCCCCAGGAGCTCCGACCTCCTCTCGAGGGCCGTTCGTTGCGTCCTGGGCCCGTGCTCGGGGCCACGGTGGTTGCAGCTTCGGGGTCTCTCGGGGGGGGGACAGTTTGGGGCCACTTCCCCGCAGCATTCGGTCGCCCCCTGCTTCCTGGGAGGGCCTTACGGCTGGTGCCGCCGCCCCTGAAGGGGGGGGCGCCGACGGCAATTACGGCGGCGGCGGCGACGACGCTGACGCGTTGGAGCCCCTCTTGGGGCTCTCTTGCCCCTTGGGGGCCTTCTTGGGAAGGCCCGCGGGCCGAGACCGTGGAAAACTGCCCAGACTGAACAAAAGCACGTCGTCGGACATGTTTGGTGTCTGCTCGGGGAGCATCGGCATCGGGATCGGCGTCGGGGGGTCGAGTCGGACCGAGTCGGATCGCGGGCAGCCATGCCTTCAGGCGCCGCTGTTTCAGGGACAGCTTGATGCTGCGCGTGTGTTCCGTGCCGTCGGAAGACGTGACGTTGTTGCCCTTGTGGGGGGACAGAAAGCAGGGACCACGACCCAGACCGAACGCGTATAAACGTCGGTGCCGATCTTGGTCACCGTCCATCTTGGTCCCCGTGGTCACATTCGCTTCGTGGATCCTCCTCGCGAAATAGCGACGGCTGGCATGGACCGTGACGAAGATCGGCGTCGACAAGACCCTGCCACATGTTGGTCATTGTCAGCGTGATTATTCTCTCGACCTTGTGCTCGTGGGTGATGCCCTTCTTCTCCTTCTCCTCCGGGTCGGGGTCGGCCTTGATCTGGTCGTGCGCCTCCGAATACATGTCCTCCAGCTTGTCAGCATCGATGTCCGCCTCGATGTACTTTGCGAAGTGCGCCTCGTACTTCGTGGGATCCTCCTCGGCGAGCATCTCCATGTACTCCTTGACGTGGCCGCCGAAGATCCGGTCCTTGTGCGCTTCCGCGTCGTACTCTGGGTCCTGCCCCTTCTCATCGGGCGCCTTGTAGCCCGGGAAGTTCTTGGTGCTGTGCGGGATGTGCAGGCCGCCGTCCACGGCGCCCTTGAGGGCGCCCCACATGCGCGCACCGGCGCACGTGCGGCGAAGGCCGACGTCCAGGATGCACTTCAGAGGGCGCCTCTCGTTCTCCTCGTCCTCGACGTGGTACTCCTCGCCATCGATCTCCTCCTTGCCCTTAAAGGTCTCATCGAGTCCCATCGCCTTGAGTACCCGTCGCGCAACGAGCAGGCCCGTGGCGTAGCAGGCAGCGTAGTTTTTATAGCCTGCGGGAATACCGTACTTTTTGAGCTCGTCCGAAGAGGCCGCGGCAACAATCATGTCACCGCGGATGGTAGCATATGCGATCTGACAGATGACCCTGCTGCTGGTGATGCGAACTATCATGCGGTACTTCTTGTTGTTGAACTTGTTCTTGTCCTGGCGCACCATCTTGCAACGAGCGTGGAAGTCCGTCTTGCCCTCGCGGCGGCGGCGCTTCTTGACCTGGAACCGCTTGAAGTACGCCTTATTCTTGAGCACCTTGACGAACGCCATGGCGGCGGAGGCTAGCAGAAGTAGTGGACTCTCCTCCACGTGGCCTGCCAGCCAAAACGGCTCGAGCAAAAAAGGGCTACAGAAGGGGAAGATGGGGGAGGAGAGGAGAGGAGAGGAGAGGAGAGGAGAGGAGAAGGAAAAGGAGGAGGAGGAGGAAGAAGAGGAGGGGTGGGAAAGAGGAGGAGGAGGAAGAGGAGGAGGAGGAGGATGGGGAGGAAGAAGGAGCGAGGTTCTGACTGCGCAGGGCTTTCGGTGATTCTGGTGAGCCTTGGGGAGAGGAGGAGGAGAAGGAGGAGGAGGAGGAGGAGGGGAAGGAGGAGGGGGCATACATGATACAGGGCGCGCCTCCCTACCCCCCATCCCATGGGGGTGTGGTGCCCTCCCCCATCCCATGATGGGTCTGCGGCTAAGAGGGCGAAGCAGGTGGATCCCCCCCCGTTCCTGTGGATGTGGTGCAAAAGGATGTGGTGTGTGGTGTGTGGTGCGCGGTCGGGGCGGGAGTGGTGTAGGAGAGGCGGGGGAAGGGCATGACGAGACGAGGGGGAGGGAGGAGGCAAGGATAGGCATGTACGGACGCATGAGTATGGCACATTGACCTCATGATGCGTTGATGCACGGATTGCGCTGATCCGCCGTCCTGGAACATCATGCCTTGATGCACTGGTGTGCTAGCATGTTGTCTCGTTGATAACCAGATGCCTTGATGTTTTGATGCCTCGTGTCCTCATGCACCGATGCTCTGGTGGATCTGTGTCTCGATGGTCTGATGCACAGGTGCCTTGGCATCTTGACGTCGTCGTGCCCCCATGTCTCGCGGGGGGCGCCGGGCAGGCCTCCACCCCCTTCCCCCCCATCCCCCGTGGGCGGGGGGGCGAAGCAGCCCCTGGACCGACTGGGAAGCTGGAGGCGTTTTGGCCGCAGCGGTGGCGCCACGCGCACCGCGCCCGCAGCCCGGGCAGGCCGGCGCCGCCAGGCCGGGCGGCCTCTACGCACGCAGGCGGGAGGCACGGAGAGGGCGGCCGCGGAGGAGGAGGCATGCGCAAGACGGCGCACTCGGGCCACGAAGCGCCTCGCGAGCCGAGGGAGCTGGAGAAACACCCCGGGTCCGCGGCGAGGGCGGGCGCCCGCGCGCCCGAGGAGCCGCCCGGCCGCGCCGGAACTGGGGGCACGCCCGCGGAAGTGCGACCAGGGGAAGCAGAGGGCGGCCGCGGAGGAGGAACGCGGGAGGAGGCCTCGGGCATAGAGAACCTTCGCCACGAGGAGCGCGCAGGCGGCCTCAGGCACCCAGAGACCGGCGTGGCCAAAGGACGTGCGGGTGGAGGAGGCTGGAAGCACACGCGGCTGGATTCCCGTGCGGAACATCCCGAGGCCACGCGCCGGGTGCACATGCGAAAGCCCGGCGTGCCCGGCGTGCCAGACACGAGCCCCGCGCGCTGGAGGCACGTCTGGCCACGCGCGCGTCCAGCTCTCGCCCAGGCTAGCCGCGTCGTGTGCACCCAGCCTCCTGCCACCCGACCAGCCACAGCCCGGGGAGCTGTGCTCCTTGCCCCCCCCATCAGGCGACCCCTGGGCGTCGCTTCATGGGGGGGGGGCGATAAATGAGGGGGAAGAAAGGTGCACTTCTCGGCCCCTAGAGGCCCCCTTTTTGGCCCCTAAAGGGCCCCTTTTCGCCGGCCCATGTATCGCCCCCCCAATGCGCGACGCCCAAGACCCAAGACCCCTTGCGTCAACTTGGTCCTGGGGAAAGGGAGTCTTTCGTCCTAGGGTCGCAAGCCACAAAACGCAGTAGTTCATCCCGTGGCGCATGGCGCGTGGCAGCCGCGCGCCGACCATGCACGACGTGCGCTTCCCGCACGCAACGGGTGCACGAACTGCGGTGCACGCGTTCGGGCCCCCCTCCGCGAAGCCGGCCCGTGGGGCTCCCCGCGCAGGGCGGGCGAGGACCACGGCGCTGGCGGCCGTGGCCGCCCCAGGGCGACGGGAACACGGCGCACGGCGTGCGCGCGGGCCGGCGCCCTGGCGCCGCCCCCGGGCGCCGCCCCTGGCGCGCTCCGCACGCCCGGCGGGGCGGGGGCCCGGCACCGGCCCGAGGAGTCCGCGCGGAGCTCCGAGAGCTTGCGCGATGTGCACGGTGCTCCCCCCCCGCCCGCCTCCTTCCACTCTCCCTCCCTCCCTCCCTCCTGGCCTCCCCCCCCTCCCAGGCTCCGTCCCTCCCTCCCTCCCTCACTCCTCGTCCCCCCACTCCCTTCCCCGATGCTCTGCCCCTGGCATCTGGGAAGGAGGAGGGAGCGCGGGAACACAGGCCCGTGGAACACGATGGCGAGGAGACCGGGCCAGTCCGAGGCCCCTCGGAGCAGCGACGAGGGGCCACCAACCTCCCACACTTGTTCCTCCTCCTCCTCCTCAACCTCCTACTCAGCATGACCATCATCGAGATCATGAGCACGATCATGACAATGATCATTGGCATCGCCATCATCATCACCATCATCATTATTACCACCACCAGCATCATCATCATCATCATCATCATCATCATCATCATCATCATCATCATCAGCATCATCATCATCATCATCATCATCATCATCATCATCATCATCATCATCATCATCACCGTAGTCATCATCGTCATCATTATCAGCATCAACAGCATCATCATCATCATCATCATCATCATCATCATCATCATCATCATCATCGTCATTACCGTCATTACCGTCATCGTCACTGTTACCATTATCATCATCGTCATTACCATCATGAGCAGCATCGTCATCATCGTCATCATCAGCATCATCGTCATCATCGTCATCATGGTCATCATCGTCAGCATCATCACCACCATCAGCATCGCCATCTGCATTATGCATCATCATTCAGCATCCTCGTAAACATACAACGACAACATCATCATCAGCATCAGAATCATCATAGTCATCATCATCATCATCATCATCATCATCATCATCATCATCATCATCATCATCATCATCCGCATCTTTATCCTCATCCCCAGCACCCTGATCATCAGAATCCTCAGAATCATCATCAGCATCGTCATAATCATCATGATCAGTATCGCCATCATCATCAGCAAAATCATCTTCATTTAGCTCATCAGCAGCAGCAGCATCCACATCATCAGCATCATCATCATCAGTATCATCATCATCAGCATGATCATCAGAATCAGCATCATCATCAACAACATCAATATCATCAGCAGCATCACCGTCATCATCCTCGTCATCATAACCATCACCGCCACCACCACAGCCATCGTCACCATCGCCGTCATAGTCATCATCGTCATCACAATAG